TCTTAGTAATCTGTCTATGGCATTTATAGCATGACTGGATGCCATGGTGCATTCATCAATAATGAGAAGTTGGCCTTTTTAATAGTTTTAGCAACTTAACTGTTTATATCGAGTCTAGAAATTGAAGTTTCATTTAATGGAATTGGTAATTTATATTGGGAATGAAAGGTCCTTCCACCGAGAAGTATATTTGCAGCAATTCCTGTAGACATTGTGGGTAAAACAGTACCACCACGACCTCTAATATAATGTATTAAAACTTTATACAGATATGCAGGTGAGTAGGATTCCCAGCTGGCAGGCCCCTGACAGCAAGCTGGCCACCTGTCCATTTTGTGAGGAATGGGGCTCCCTCCTCCCTCCTGTCAGGGTCTGCTTTGAAGGCCGGCCACGCCCCTGTTGGGGCAGACCCAGAGTTCTACCACATCACGGCCTCCGCCTCAGCAACCCAGGACTGACTGCCGCTGGGCGCTCCTGGCGCTCCGAGGGTGGGTTCTTCCCTCAGGCCTGGTGGGAAACAGCTCAGGGAGGGCGTAGCCATTGCCAAGGCGACCCCTGCAGGACTGACTTCCTTCTGGTTGGTCAGCCTCAGTTGTGATGGGTGTTAAACCCAGGGTTTTTATATAAATTGATTCAATATTATTTTGTATTGGTTTTAGGTGTATGCATAGAGGTTAGGCAATCATATACTTTACAAAGTGTTTCCCTGATATTTCAAGCACCCACCTGGCACATACATAGTAATTACAATATTATGAACTATATTCCCTATGCTGCACTTTATATCCCCAAGAATATTCTGTAACTACCAATTTGTTCTTACCACCTTCACCTTTTTCACCCAGCCCCCTGACAACCTTTGGCAACCTTAAATCTGTTCTCTGTATCTATAGTTGCTATTTTGTTTGTTTGTTTATTTTGCTTTTTAGATTTCACATATAAGTGAAATCATGGTATTTGTCTTTGTCTGACATTTCATTTAGCATAATAAACTCTAGGTTCATCAATGTTGTCACAAATGGTATGACTTTATTATTTTTTATGGCAGAGTAATATCCCAATATATTTGTTTGTGTGTTTTACTGACTTATAAAATTTATTAAAAGCAACTTAAATTTGTGTTGTGGAATAAAACCACTAAAAACCATTAAGATCATTGAACAAGATATAAATATCTGTGGGTTTTTTTGGGGGGGGGAGGTTAATTCTTTTTTTTTCACATTTTTGCAAATCTCTTTAATGTTTGGCTTAATAGAAGACATATGTACTCCTGCATCCAATCTGTTATGCTCTGTTGTATTGTTTTTTTTAATTCTTTATTGTTGAAAGTATTACATATGTCCCCTTTTCCCCCAATGACCTCTCCCAGCCCACCTCCGCCCCCCAGCCCAGGCCTTCACCCTCATCATTGTCTGTGTCCATTGGTTATGCTTATATGCATACAGGTTCTTTCATTGATCTCTTACTCCCCACCCCTTTCCCCCACCCCAACCCTCCCCTGCCTTCCAAATCTGAGTATATGTTT